TGTGATTTCTTAAATTTTTCATAATCTTCGCTTGAGTGGTCTAGTTCGTCCTCTTTATCTTCCAGTCTTGATATTCTGTTTTCTATTTCATTTATCCTATGTCCACTTCATCTTCCAGCCTTGATACTCTGTTTTCCATTTCATTCATCCTATTGGTGAGGCTTTCTCCTGTTGTTTCTAATTGGCTTACTATTTTACTTCCTTCTTCATTTCAGCCTGAGTATTCCTCAATATTTCTCACTCTTTTCTGAATTCATTCAGAAGTTTATCCCTATCTTCCTTCAGTTCTTTTACTTGTTTGTGTGTTCTTTAAATTCACTGAATTCTTTTATCATGTTTATCATTGTCCTTTTGAGTTCTGTGTCCTGCATTATCTCTAGGGGGTTTTCACTGTACTCCTCTAGAGTACTATTGGTTTTTTGTGGGGATATATTATTTTGGTTTTTCATGTTATTTTTTCTTTGTGATTTGACATGTGGATTTCTTTTGTAGTTTCTGATTCTTGTGTGAGACTCAAGCCTTCAAGTTTAGTTCTGCTTCTTTTTGTGAACTTCATATGTCTTTGTTGTTTACTTTTTGGGCATGAAAAGCTGGTTTGTCTAAGCTTTGATTCTCTCTTTTGATTGTATATTGGAGTGGCCAGATTGCTTTTGTCCTCAGGAGTTCCCACAGAGGCCCAAGTCAGATGAGGATCAGATGCTCTCAGGCTTTCTCCTAAGGTCTGGATCCCTCCAGGAACCATTTTGGCCTCAGGAATTTGGGGGTTAGACTGGCCTGGGAGGCGGGCCTGTGGGTCCTGAAGGCCCAGGGAAGCAGAGGGAGGTGAGGGTGGGGCCAGGCCCAGAAGCAGTGCTCCTGGGGACCAGAGAAGGCACTGAGTTTGTCTGGATGAAAAGGATCAGGAAGCTTTAGTGGTTCCCCAGGTGTCTGGGGCCCCAAGACAAGGAATGGGACGGGACCCAGGCTAGGAGGAGAGACCTACGGGGGAAATGGGAGGGTGAATGAGGCTGGGGGAGTCAAGGCATGGAGGGTGCAATGGACATACCCCAGAGAAAGGCTTGCGGGTCGGAGAGAGGCCTGCTGGGCCAATTTCCTCCATTTTTTAGTAAATGATACTAAAGAAGAACTCAGTGATGGAGAGGCTTTGTAACCTGAGCTCAAGTCAAGGCCAACACGTCCTTGGGTTAGGCTGCATTAACTACAGGGCTTCTGTGTCCTCCTGAGATTGAGCCTATGACTATAAACCCTAGAAAGTGGCCCGAGTCCTCATAGGATAGATTGTACATAAGTGTGGAATATAGCACCTGAAGTATTGAAGAACTTTTGTGACAAGGCCATCATGCAATATTCAGACCTGTGCTGAATTTGAACACCACTTAATAGTAAGCCAATCACGCTACTAGAAATTATGAGTACAATTTATGGGCCAATGTAGTGCTATAGCAATGTGAGCTTATATTGCTTTGAATAATTCAAAAGGGTCAACAGTGGAAGCTTCATGAAGAAGAGCTTAGATTTCCTACTATGAATAGCACAGGCATTGGTGGTTCAGCAAATCAGTTAAGACCCTATGAAAGAGTTCAGACCATCGTGGAAGAATAGCTCAATAAAACTAGCTATTCTTGTCATACAAGTGTACCACTAAGCAATATCCTGATGTATATGTATACATATGTGTATATAAATTTATGCACACAGTTTTATATGTAAATCAGCATCACACCATGTAGGGAAATTACTCTCATTTTATACATTCAGACACTTGACATTCTTAAAGCTATAAAACAGAACATAGAAAAATAATTAGGAACATATTCAACACTTACAAAAAGTGATATGATAAAGAATATAAAGCATGTTTCCTTTCAAGATTTCAAAAGATATGCATAGATATGTATATATACATTTTTACCAGTAACATCATAAATAATCACATCTTCTCATGCTTGTTATTATTTGTACTCAGTGTAAGATTACTATCATTTTTCATACTTAAATTTTTTCTAGATTTGTAACAATGCAATTTTAATCCCTTCAAGTAAATTCAACCCCCAAATCAGCATTAAGACTTGCACCGACCCTTCTTCTAGAATTTTCTAAAACTTGTAAATTTCAGAGGAAGGGAAGTATTTTTTAAAGTTCCAATTAGTGGGAGAGTAATATGGAAATGACTGATACCAATTGGAGAACCTTATTTTTTTAAAAAAAAAACTGACAAAGAACCCATTATTAAGATTTTAAAATAAAAAATAGTATTTTGACATAAAATAGGGGGCAAAATACAATAAACAAAAATAGTATAGCCAAATCTGCTTTATCTGGAGCTACACTAGAATGGACCTTGCTTAGTTCCCATAAGTGAAAGAAAGTTTACCTCATCAAACCTGGAGGCAAAATAAATGAGGCAAAAATAAGTATTGCTAGTTTCTAGGATGGCTGAGTGTTTTCTAAACCAGAAATGCTTAGAAAGGAACTTTATTGCACCAAGTCAGTTGCAAGCAAGTTTGCAGTTCACAGAGATTTTAATTCACCCTTCAAAGGAAACACCACACTCCAAGACCAGAGATAATAGCTAATAAACTGCCTCAGCACTGTGGTCTGTGAAAAGCCTACTACTGTCAGGTAGAGGCAGGGTATGAGCTTAGTTCTGCCATGAAGTGGACTTGTAGGAAACAGTGCAAGGATGCACAGCTGCCAGCATCCTGTGGCCAAGGAGAACAAGGGGCAGAAATGGAAGATGTATTTTGAGAGGAAATGAAGGAGAAACAATACTGAGAGGAAAGAGGCTGAGCTCAAGTTCAACAAAAGCCCCTAAGCTAAAACAAGCCAGGTGAGCTTTGGTCAGTCTAAGCATCTGTTCAAAATGTATCTCATCATAATGTGTCATAACTTCCCAATTACAATACAAATGATTCTTGGTTGTCATTTTTCTCATAGGCCAATATGTCAGCATGAAATATGACAGTGTGAAGGAGGACAAAAGCTTACTTAGCCCCAGTTTGACCTCAGCATAAGGCAAAATCCCCTGGATGAATTACATTAAAAAACAGACTTCACACACACACACAAAAACTGACCTCATGCAAAGATTGCTAATTTTATAAGCACAAAAGTCTAGAGCTCTTTTATACCAGAGGTCATTGAGAAAAGTACCATGTGCTAGAATTCTCTTTCACCTCCAATCCATCATGTCCTCAAAGTTAGGTGAGGAAACAAAGAGCAAATCAGCATTTCCCTCAGGAGCTATGGAGCACTGTTACATCATTGTGGTAAGGCAGGAGTGTCGGGAAGCAAACGGTATTCTTCCTTATCCAGTTTTTAAATGCTTCCAGAAACAGATCAAACCCCAGTCTATAATAACATGAAGGACATTGGAAAGGGCTATTTCTTTTGGACTTCTGAGACAAAACATATCAAACTTTTAAATTTGGCATTTATATCAAAAGGTGATGTTCATAATAAAAATTACTGGATAAACCAATTCTACATTAAAAAAAAAACCATGGACTAAAAGTAAATCCTCTACATTTATCATGCCATACATAATTCAGCATTGATATTACAACACTGGCTCAAGCAGAGCCCTCTTACAACCATTCTGACTTAGACACTGACAAGTTCAATGGGTTCTCTCAAGAATTTTTCTTTGCTACAGTGTCTCAGTCTATACATTTTTTTGCTAGTGCTATCACAATAAAATATTATCTTTCAAAGTGCTCACTAAAATCCTGTATTACAAGATATCTAAATGCTAATCAGTACTCAAATCAGCAGTCACACAGACATTAGGGTAATTAAATCAGTGCAGAGGTAAATAACCACTATTAAAGTACAGTGGAGATACAGTGAGCCTAGCTGACATCCAAACATTCCACAAGTTATCACAGAACCCAGAAAGCCTGTCTACTTTAGTTTGTCAAATTCAAGTGAATTATATTTTTTTGTAAAGTATCTGCCCTCTAAAATAAAAGCCACATCTACTTTTGATTAGGTACATTACACATGACATGCAAAGAAAAATTACTACCAATTATTTGGGTAGCGCTCAAACTTCCTGATCAAGAAAAAGGTAATCTCAACATAAAAAAGGGTAAATTTTCACATTGGTACGTATGAATAAGAAACAGAAGCTACAGTTACTTTTCCAAAATAACACAGATACATGAATACTATGTTAATTCAGAGTTCAATCTCCAAATAAAAACAGAGTGTAACACGCAAAGGAATCTCTAGTGGATATTGCAGATCGGAAGAAGCAGGATCAGATGTGTTCCCTACGAGTAAGGAGCTACAAAATGCAAAGCAGAGTCATTTTTTAGAAACAACCTCTGGACATATATATATA